TCACACTGATACCCGACGCATCATATCTTATCTCACCTAATGGATGCATTAATTTTCTGTTTCACTTCTGGTCTTCGTGAGCCTAAAACAGTTGGATAAAGATATCTACGCTAGTCAAAATTAACCCTAACCATATTTGCTTGATAGTAATTAAATTGTTTTGGCTAGATGAACCGTGCAAATTATTGTTATATCCAGCTCACCGTACGAGACAGAATACAAAAAATAAAGCGATTGTAGCAAGACTATTGACTCCGGGCAAATAGGAGTGCGGGGTTGATAACAATATTGGACAAAAAAAGTGCTGTGCAAACTACAATGATTTTGACAGTTAAATATGAAGTGTGGATGATGAAAACTTTCAGTTACTGAGCTGTGATCGATTAGTTGATTATCTGTATGGTTTGTTATATTATACCTGCTAAACAAGACACTGTAGTATAAAATACGAAAGCCTAAGTTCATGCGTAGCTATTTTCACACAAAACTAGTGAAACCGAATCAAATTTCGTTAGTATTTCGCTCAGCTAGTCAAAATCGTTAAATAAAATTATCGTATTCGAAGAAGTCTCGAGATGAGAAAAGAATCGTTGTTTTGGATTACATTATCTGTTTTTATCATGGGAGCTATGCTGACGCGCCATAGATACCTAAAACAGAAAACCGAGCTTGAAGGTGACTGTTTCTAAGTTTGTGGCATATGTCTTTCTCTGAAGTTTATAACTGGAACACGAAAAATAATTCAAAGAAGTGCCCATCTGGTCTCGTCTATATCATAATTGTATGCAGTACATTGTTACATATGGCCTGATTATCAAAACAGGTCAATTAAAAGAGAACGTTATCCTTGGGATCAATAGAACAATCGGTCTACATTCTGACTGTTTTACTGATTTAAAATTGTTTAATACAACTACTTGTCAGTCTTCCAAATGTTCCAAATTCATACCTGGGGCTTATAATGTTCGCCGTAGAGTGGGTTGCGTGTATTTTATATTTCTACCGTTTTTCAACATTTTATCGACGATAGCTACTTGCAGTGTCGTTTAGCCTTGAAAACGGTATAGAACTGTTGGTTATTGTTAAAGTACAACAAAATTTGATCAAATTTTTAATATCAGAGCTACTGAAAATCCCATTATATCACTCAACGTTTATTGGAATCCTTTATGATGAGTTGTTTGAGCATTTAAGGGCAGATGTAGTCATTCCGTTGTAAAGCAGCCTTTAGATACATTCGCCGCAGATTTTAAAACTAAGAAATTGAAGGTAGTTTATTCTTCCCATATTCCAAGCCGCATCAAAATTTGAGGATGTCTGTGGGAGGACGTTTCTGTGAGAATGGAAACAATTGGCCTAGACTAATCTGGCTTAAAACATTTGTGAACCGGATAAAACATTAACGTAACTCTCAAAGACTGAGAGTACAGAATCATGTCATGTATAGCATGGTTTGATAGATGAAACACCTGGCGGATCTGTTTTCAAGATTTTTATTTTTTTTCTATTTACAAACCAAAGTTTCCGCACAAGCGATCCAGTTCGGTTGGGTTGTACGTGATGGGCTATTTATAAAATGTACGTAACCAAAATCAAATTTGGCATCAAAATTGTTACCAATCCCATTGATCCTTTAAATTTGAACAGTACACCATGTTCAAAATACTATGTGAAAAAAACACAAAACATCAACTGAATGTTTTTAACAATAACACGATCACTTCTTCTCTAACACCAAAACTTACTAGATAATGCAGATTGCTTTATGTTTTTTCCATGCTTATTATTGATCTCAACCATTAAATAAACCTTCAGGAGGAGGAAAGCTTTAGCATTCCAGGCTCAGCCTGAAGAAAATGAGTGATCAAAATGCGAGAGGTATGTAATGAGATTTGAGCTAAGGATGTTCAGATTGAGGGGGTGATGAAACTCATTGCCTGACCACCACCAACCTAAGTGTTCTTGTTGCGCAAACTTCCATTCTAAATTCCCGTTAGGCACACATATATTGCAACTCACTATTTTCCTTCATTCTCTTTTGGGTTATGTACGTGGTGTTGCACTTCCTAACCTGGACATGCGTTGAATTAATCTTTGAAATTTTAGTTGATTGGCAAAAGTTGCTTTTTCCGTATCCACATGATCGATGGAACTGAAACCGAAAACTACACCAAAATTGAATCTTCCTGTGCATAAAACATCAAAGTACGGACATACTTCCGATTGCTTAAACAGCGAGAGAGAGACAGACGTTTGATACCCATAGGAATTTTTTTTTTCAATTTTCTATTTACAAACGGTACCTTTGCTTGTTTCTCGTACTAAGGCAAAACAGTATTAAATTCTGATCACAATGATTTAGCATCTTGTTTGCCCTTCATTTACAATTTTTCAATAATACCAGTACATACGTACGTACGTACATACGTGGTGTGTAACCTGGAAAAGATGTATTTGCATGATGGCTTTTGGATTCCATGATAAACAAGAGTACACCGTCCTTTGTTTGACATTTGCACTCAAACGTGAAATATTCTAATGACAAAGTTGTAATGCATTGAATTTGACTACTCAAAGGAAACTCGCTTCTTTTTTATCTCTTACGGCATGTCCTATCTATCTGGTGAATGATATTTTAATGCATCAAGTGTTTGGTTTTTCTTGTTCATCACACTGGCCTCCATCTCTCTTCTTGAGTACCTTTCATGGTAGCCCACCATGTACCAATATCCGAATGTGAAAGACATTCCTTATTATTTTGACATTCTTTGAAACCACAAACTGTTCTCCATTCATCAACTTAATCGTAAGACGAATGTCATAAAACGTTTAAAATACGAGTATGAAACGTATGTATTGTGAAAAATGAGAAAATTAGATGAGATTCAAACTCGTTATTTGTAAGGTCATATACTGCAACGTGTGCTCNAACAGAAGCACATGATATTTAATGGCACATCCCAGCCCAATTCTCGTAGGTATTTATATGCATTAACAAAAATGCCATCCTGTTTATAGCACCGGGTTTTCATCTTTTAAATGAATCAAACCTATGTTTCAGTGCTTTCTATTGGATATTTAGTTTTTTTCACCTAGCCTCAGATTCACTGAGCTGAAAGGTTTCACCGGAAACCAAGTCACACTGCAAAGGTCGGCCCGGTCAAAAGTAAGATTTGCTTTCTCTGCCCAGACAAATTATTTATGTCCCATACAACTAGATTATGACAAGAACTGAATTCCTCAGACTGATGAATGTCACGTCTGTATCAGGGATGGATTGGTTGAAGAATAACTGAAATAGACTTCCGTATATCCTTTATTCCACCACAAACAAACAGACAGATGTCAATCTTAGTCTTTCTGTCATTTTTTTTTAAATAAACCAAATTTAGCTTTTTGTGGATATTTTTAGGGGAAGAAATTTGAAGGAGTTCGTTGAGGTATGCCCATTATTAGTTAAACTTTGCGGTTTAATTTAATTCCATAAATTGAACAAAAAGTCATTTAGTTGCACATAATGGGATTCCCAAAGGGGAGGAAAGTGATCTACGAAGCCGGATTAGATGTATACGGAAAATAGCAATAGGTAAAAGAGCCTATCCATCTCTCTCTCGGTAGACATATATATAATGGTTGGCTATGGGAAACTAACCCATCGTTAGCTATTTGACATAGCCGCTACAGTCGTGTGTAACTCAAGGAAAGATATACCAAATAAATTAAACATAACAGCCAAACCGTCTTTATTATAAATCCCCCTATGAACGTGGCTGAAAAAAATTGCAGCATCTTGTAACACTTTTGTTGCACTTTCCTGATTTTCAAAAAATATATGATATCAGGGCAATTCATATAAGGCTACTATACAGAAAAATATAAGGAAGAGGACGTTGCTTGCAAAAGATGTAATAGCCGCTTTAAGAGGTACAATGACATCATTTCCCCTAATGTCTATGTCATCATGTTTTGGAATACAGCTTACTCATTGAAAGGGGTCAATGACACAAATTACCAAATTACATTATAATATTCAGATAGAACATAACATCAGTCACTTACAAACTAGTAGTAGAACGTGAGATTATAGCATTACATCAACCTAGTTCTTAACTTCGCTGTCGTAGCTGTTGGATGTCAACATGCATCAGTGTAAAGAAGATCTGAAGTTCAAACATTTGACCTATTCATCCGAATTATACAGATAATTTCTTCCTCGAAAATACCACCCTTCGTGGGTATCTTATTCTTGTAGCTTGTCAACTACATTTAGGAAATCAAAGAAATAATAAAGTGACCGCCGGATTTGGAAAAACTGGGTCAAACTATGTGTGGGCTGACAAATTGACCTATCAACTACGAAAAGGTCAACGCAAAGAGAAGACCCATTAGGGAGATAAATTCTACGGATAGAATGAATGATGGTATTCGTTTTTCAGAGAGCAGCTAACACGAACCGGGGAATAGGTAATTCACATATTTTTGGATTATCCTTAAAAGATGAAAACTATGCAATTAGAAGCCAGTTTGGAAGACTACGGATAACCTAATTTCTATCTATGACACTGATACGTTTTTCAAATGCGCTGACGAAATAAAAATTTATTTTTTCGTTTGAATGAACTAATAATAATTTTAAGGAGATGGACTATATAGTCAACTTCTATTAGCATTCAATGCCTATTCATGGTGGATATTAATGGTTCAAAATAATATCAAACTCTTAGTAAAAATGCGGTAGTCTACTTCTAAAACATTACATTCGATTGCTCTAAAACATATCCTCTACGGCTTAAACAATGATTTCACCTTCAGCCTTTACAAGCATTAGTAGGTATAAATTTGCATTAAACAATGCCCATTGAAATACACGCCTGAAATATAAACATTCTGCCATCAACAATGGTATTCAAATTCTATTTCCCATAAAAGTAAGTGTAATGTATAGTGGTTCCTATGGGGTTTCGAACAACTTGTTTAATCCATTCAAGATCTATGCTTACCTGGCAACAGAGCTGATATGCTAGTTCAAAGACGCCATCTAACCAACCATGGTTTGCCGGCCAATTGAGCTGAGGTAAGCCCAAATATCGAGATACTTCCAAGTCGGCAGGTTGATCTCTAGATCCTCTGGAGGTTCGCGCCATTTCCGCCGCCACACTTTCAAACATACCGGATAGGAGACGTGAACGATCTTTCTGACTCTGAGCGAGAGGAGAGAGTAGAACTTGAGCGATTGCTTGAGCCACATCTCGAGGCTTCACTTTTACCTTGTTAAAATCGATGGGTCCCAGACGAGCCAATGCGAGCGCCAAAGCAGCCTGTTGTGTCAAGAAGCAAAAGGCACATGTTAAAGGTGATTAAAATGTAATCACATTTACAACATCGAGAAAACATGACAAAAAATGATCTGCATTCGCAAGATCATAGAGACAACAGAGTGGATGTTGCAGATGCTCTATCTACGTTTTATCTAGAGAAAAGTATTAATATTGATGCATTAAACGCAGCATCAAATAAATAACTTATTTTCTCAATTCTCCACTTCATAATACAATTTGTGACATAGTCGGAACGGCCTATGAGCGCATGACAGTTAACCCTAAATGGTCCGTCGGACCACTCTCAGCAAAATGTGCGAGATTAACTGAAAATTAATAATGAACCGCCGTGAGTGAAACAGGGCAGTTGGTATTCTTTCGCCTGAACAGAAATTTGCTGAGCAGTGCGATCGACGCATAGGGCGTAAAAAAAAGCTGAATGCATCTGCTTAGAATCGGTAACTTGTCCTCATTCCAAAGATGCACTCTGACAACCCTGAAGATGAGACGCGTTGAGAGTATTCTTACACAGATGCACGCAAATACAGAAAACCAGTGATTCTTTTTTAACTCCTGCATGTAACACCTGGGTTTCGAGCCTCCTAACTGACGCTAGCACATAAACTTTTTAAAAAACGACCACTAGACTGACCTCTTATTGGTTATATATGTATTTTTTTATTTATTCAACTTGAAATATAGAGCTTCTATGAATTCCTACAGTCAAGCTGTCTAAGCTGCTGTCACCGGGATGTATTCGACCCAAGGATCAGAAGTTCGAACACCGACACGAATTCCTGACTTTTTGATAGATAGCCTTAATTTCATCCGGTTTAATACCACAAATAAATTAACAGGATCTTATGCCGTTAATCATTTCAAGTCCCGGGCATAGGGCTGAACAGGATATCCTCTTGACTATGGGGTTAACCCTGTTCATTGTTCATCGAATGAAGGCGTAAACCAATGAAAATATCATTTAGATTATGAAATAACTTATGACAACTTGCCTAAAAGGTATAAAATAATGCAAACCAATTGTTTCAGTGGCAAAGCTATGGTTAATCAACAACAGTAAATCAGCTGAACAGAGGACTGCTGGTGACTAAAATATCAAACGTCAAGTTCTTCTGTTTGGTGTAATCATAGTGGAAACTACAACACATCAGAGAGAAAAACAATTTCACAATATTTCCAAAACGGATTTCGATGTGCCAATACTATACGAAAGTACTGTGTTCCCATAATCGGGGTATGAAGCAACAATAATGGAGACTCACAGCATGCCCCGGTCCTTGAGATTCTACGAACATTCCGTAGAGTTTAGCCGTGTATCGCGTAATTCTGCAAAGGTGTACACATAAGAGGTGAAGGTTCCGAAAATCTTCTTTAGAAAAGGCATGATTAAGTATATTCTGAAGCAAAAAAGTGATCCGGTTTCAGATGGCATCAGGTAATAAAAGCTACAACATGAACTATTATATTGTTACCTTTGTACGTAATCTACAAGTGCGACGTGTAAGACTCATCCTGGGTATCAAATCAGTTTCACTAGCATTTTGCACCCTATTGATAAGTCGACCAAATAGCTAAATATCATATTTAGCACAGAATAAGACACGCAAGGAATTAGAGCGTTTCGTATTTCCTAGAAATGGCTGGAAAAAAACACTCATTCCTTCAAATACATAAAAAAAATTGATGGGGAGAGTTACAATTAGTTTGTCTAGTACTGTAAATAGGAACTGAATTCAAATAAAGTATAATTTTTGTCTACCTCTTTAATTAATAAAAAATAAATGGATATACGTTCTTTTTGTTGGTTCATTTTCAAAATGTACAATAAATAAACTTTCAGAAAGGCTGTTTGAGGTAATATGGAACACGGGGTTCTGCACCTCGGGGGTGACGGTTGAACTCAGAACTTCCAAAAGGCTGGTTTGACGATCCTACCAGCCGACCATCGCTACCGCCGATTTTGAACAAAATAGTTCATTTTCATTTCAAATATCAGTACCCAAAAACGACCTACGTTTCAATCAATTACATTGCTTGTACAATCAGTTCGAAACGTAACTGCAGTTCGTATCAGAGACCTAGTTTATTAATCTAAAGTGACTGCGTTTTCTACGAGCTTCCTTCTAATGCACACCTTGTTGAATATTCCAGTATCAGTATTGTTATGCATAGATTTATATCAACTGAACAGCTTCATTGTATGCCCTTTCGGAACAATACAAACATAAGGTCTGTGTACAATGTTAACTGACATTTATCCCGCCATCTTTATTATTTATTCTGATTTGAAAAGAATTAAGTATTTATTTCAGAAGCTGTTTGATCTGGTTCACAATCGACAGAGGCACTGATTGATTTCAATTCCGAATATTCTATTCAGTGTGCCCTTATCATCATAAGCATCAGCTGCAATAGCATCTGATGTACAGTTCCCATCCTCTCAGTTCGAATATATCAGAATTGAGGTTGTTAGCGTGGGGAAGGAATGAAGCTTTTACTTACGATGGTGGCACGTGACCCACTTGGATTAGAAGAGCAGTGAGCGAATGTGTGACAATTTCTGTCAGGGTAGACTGATCCTGTTCCGAGACGGTGATCTGATGATCGGTGCAACAAAAAACAAAACACAAATGTGGGATGCGAGTTGAAACAGTCACAGTTAGATGTTATTTGAAACCTACAACACTGTATCATACTACTTTAAAGACATCGTTATGATTTACGTTTTTATTTGATCGTAATTGGTTTGGTACGAATATATGCAGTATCCGAGCCTTGTATTACGTTTAATTATGAGTTCTAATTAATGTAAGATAGATTTTTGTCCAAAGGAATCAAAAAGAAGTAAACTGGATATTGAATGTTAGCGTGTCCAGGTGGCGCATAGCCCTATCGGTGTCTAAAACATTATCTCTACTTCTTTCATCAACTCAGAAGTCTAATTTTCACGAATGGAAAACCGATGAAAGATAGCTTGTCAAAAACGGTGTTTTACATAATAGAACATTGCGAATTAGAAAATCAAATATACCCCAGAATAGGGTTAACCAATACATTTTGACATATCTGGAATGTGTTTACTGGAGAAGGGTTTACCACTTAGAAAAATAATAACAGCACACGGTGGTTGCGTTAGTAACACAGATACGAGACAATACTGCATGTTTCTGGGTAAATCAAGGGTAACATTCTGAGGTTGGAACTGATAGCTGTAGTATTCGAAGTACATTTGGTGAATAACCTATGGCGCTATAATGAAGCGATCTTCCAACATATCGTTTGAACGGAATCTATGGTTATCCTGTACTATTTGTGCAACATGTCGACGATATTCATCACGTTTACCGTTAACAGGATCACCACAATTGTGAGAAATAACGAGCTCTGTGGTAATGGTCCCAGGGGAGAATTCTTCTTACGAAGATAATCACAAACATGCCATCATTCTGTTAAAGTTAGGTGTTCAACATCTCTGTGGTTCACGACATAAGCCAACCTAATGACGATCCTTCGTAAATAATTTCAAGAAAAATTGGTTAGGCAGAATACCGTGAGTGGTTTGAGATCACGTTTTCATACGAATATGTCGAATAGTTTACAGACCTAACGTTTTTGAAGAAATTCATCATGCGAGTTCATTAAAGGTTCACTCAAATATGAATTGTTATCCCCTTCCCTGGGATAACTCCTCTAACGTATCGTGTTAACTGCAAGAAAATTTTAGGCAACTTGCCGATCATCGCTCTTGAATCATAGCTGACACATACCTTGACAAACCTACGTGGTCTTAACAAACTTGATATATCGCACGAGGAAAGCGACATCGATTTGCTCCCAGATGCCAGACTGCCTAATTTAGAGTATGCAGACGACGTTATATTGCTAAGTGAAGCTCCAGGTAAGTTGCAAGCTTTTTTGAATAGTTCGAGTGCTAGTGTAGCCATGTTCGCTATGCGTTTTGCACCTTCAAAGTGTAAAATACTACTACAAGGCTAGGTTGGTCCAGCACCCAGCCTCACTCTAACCGGGAAAGTAATAGAGCAACTGGATAAGTTTTGTTAGTTGAGCAGCCACATCTCACCCGGTGGACGCATCACTGATGAAGTGTCTGCTCACATACAGAAGGCTCGGTTGGTATTTGCCAACTTGAGACATCTATGGCGCCGTCGTGATATCCGGCTGGTTGTGAAGGGTCGAGTGTGTGCCGCGGCAGCTCGGCGAGTTCCACTATAGGGCGCAGAAAATTGGCCAATAGGAAACAGGATCAAAATACACTGTCGGTGTTTGAACACCACTGTCTACGCAGCATTGCACGAATCTGGTGGTACAGCCGGACTGGCATTGCTGAGGTTAGCCGCAGAGTTTTCGGTAACCACGGTCGACCACTGGAGCACGTGGCCGACCTCCATAGATTACGTTGGTTGGGACATGCGTTACACATGTGACCAAATAGGTTGCCACGACGAGCGATGTTCGCCGAGGCAGGTAGTGGGTGGATGAAAGCTAAGAATGGTCAAACTTGGACCTGGCAGGAAGGTATGTAAACCTTAACCATAAGTCTGGGTCACATAGGTCCCGTTAGACTCCCTGGCTGGGGACCTCGGAATGATCGTAACCGATGATTGGAGACACTGAATGATATGGTAAAGTGTCGTAAACAGTGGTGTTCGTGCATCTTCTCAATTTCTTTTCAACCTTAGGTCACTGAAATTCACCATTTTCTGATTCACTCTACTCCTAACTTTCCTGTCTCTCTCCTGTTCATCATCCAAATGCGCAGCCAAAAGACAGCAACCAAAACCGCAGCCCGAAGGTGCATGGTTAATGGTTCTACAAACTGAAGTGAGTTTATAAATATATATATATATATACCACGGCTATCAGCACTCATTACTCTCCTCTATCTACCCCCCCCCTTCTTGAGCGTTGACAACATGATGTACTTCAGTGGATATGATATAACCGATACTTCCACAACTGTCAGAAGTCCAGCATTAATCGCATCCTATGAATCGCTGACCATCATGAAAAAGCATTTGATTGATAAAGACAGTATGGTAAATTTTGGTGAATAGTTTGCTTTAGCATATCTATGCATGTCTGCACTTGTGACCTGTGCTTTCCTTCTCCAGTGTCATCGATTAATAATCCCTCCGCATATCCCCATATCAAATTAAGTTGTTGCGACCTATCCACTTTTCCTAGAACTCCCGTTTCAGTCATGTCAATTTTGCCCTATGCGTATTGTGTATTCTGCGTGCCCCTAAAACTCACCTGTGCATGTATTACCGACACAACCGTACACCCGGACTGAGTGAGTATGATTGGTCGGTTTACCCCTTTTAAATAGGTTGCTTACTTTAGCTTCTGGTTCGTTCATCTGGCAGTGCCTGATGAGTGGCATGACTTGGTATTCAATTCTACTCTGTCATATATACTACCCGTTTCCTGAACCGTTTTTCTCATGAATTCAGCTCACATGAATTAATAAACTCGTGTCATGTTTACACGGACTTGTAGATTCATAGTCTGTGCATCAACCTATCACTGGATATTAATCAGGTACAGAAACTGATTTCCAAAAACAGAGTACCAGTGCCTGCAGTACACGTTCCATTTTAAGTAAAATAGTGTGTTATGGAGACAACTGATAGGAATTTGCGGGACTCGTTGACCGAGTAGGTAGTATGCTTGTTTTCTACCCGTGAGCTATCGGGTTCGAACCCCAGTTGGGTCGCTGGATTCGCACTGANCTGACGATGAAACCTAACCAGGTTGAAACAGCTGTCGAATACTTCTCAGCTTTTCAGTTCAAGTTTCATTTGCTCTTTGCACGACAAAAATTCACCATATGAACAAACCATGGCCTCATTTCTCTCATATAATCTCGTTTCGCTGCAAGACAAAATCCTCTTAATAGTTTGAAGATTCTTGATAGAATCAAAGAACTATAGACTTAAAAACGGGCTTTCATAAGCGGATTGCCTTTCACATATGCAGCGTTGACTCCTTCACCCATTTTGACCCAATCGCCAACACCCTCTGTCCACCAGCTGCAACTGTAATGGTTTAAATGCCCCTTTGTATTGTTTGAAAGAAAATACCACTCCAGCTAGCCTATCCTTGATGGATCAGGATCACTCTCTAATACTGTTCCCACCAGACGTGTTCAAGCGAGTGACCGTAGAGATCCCCTACCGATTATTTAAGGTAACCTTCGAATTGATCAATTCGCGTCCGAATGCATGTACTAGTCACACTTGGCCCCTGAACTTTGTTAGCAAAACCATTTAATTCACACCTCACATTCTATTCCCCACCGGCCCCACACCCCCACCTCCATAAACATGGACCACAGACCATATCACACTGTTGGTCTGTACGAGAATCTAATAAAATCTATGACTCAATCACATTATCACCAATTTACGCCTACCTTATACATGCACATACGCAAAATTGCAATACCTCTCCCTATCTCTTTGGTTTTCAGACCTCCTAAATCATAAAATTTGTTCGATGCGATATTTCGACAACAATTATACGCTGAATTTCCTGTTGCTTATGGAAAGGTGAACTAAACTCAGTGAACTCAATTTTTAGCACCTGTTGCCCAATGCTTGTGTATCACTATAAGTTGTTTCAAATATGGCCATTTGATGAGGTTATAAATGAAAATAATGCACATGAGTTTGCATTACAAAAATAGAGGAAAGAAAACCAGCAGTTTGTCAGGCATCTAGTTCAAGCAAATGAAACTTCAATTTTTTAGTTCAACCCACTTTTAGACCGTCCAAAGCCTAAAATAAACACAATGGAGAGAGCAGAGAATCAAGTGTCCGATGGCTATTGAATGCATATGGTTGTATCAATAGTGAAGCAAAGAGAACAATAAACCTAAGAGAAATCTAGTGAATAAAGTTTCGGTGAAAACAAAAACACTTACGTTCTTTTGAAGCACTTCAAACAGGATTTCAAGATAAGCAGGCAATTTGTTTACACAGTAGACGGCAAAAGTTGAATCAGCCTGGATGCAATCGTAGAAAAGCTGGCGTAGAAAGAACAGGTGGCGTAGCCGATTTAGTTCACAATTAAAGGTGGTGAAACTTATTTATGACGTACTTCAAAACTCCTTGTAAGTAATCATCAATTGCAGTTATGTTTATATTTGTAAGTTGATGCGCAAGTTAAAAGCTGAACGTGAATCAAAAACCGATTATTCCTAAGCCGGGCAATCAACGCAATTTACTTTAATTTCAACGCATTTGAACTAAACAACTGGGAATGCTTCGTTGCAGAAATATTCCTGACGCTCAACGACTTCGCAGGTATTCAAAAGCCATTCAAAGCCAGTCCATATAAAATGGAGGCTTTCTGGTACCAAGATGAACTTTCGTGTACATGAGCAGAAAGAAAAAGGAAGAAATTTCGCCGTATACAGAAATAAATTAATGTAAAATGTAATTCCGGGAAACACTTCACATTTATTTCAATTTAATATAATGTACTCGACCCCACTGATGGTCGAATCCGGAACATCATAACCAGAACACAGGTATCTCTTTGTTTGATCATCGGGCAATATAACTTTTTGGATTGACTAATTCTTTATACTTTACCTTTTAGCTACCAAACTCATTTAGCTTAGTACTACTCTCACGATTGTATGCCGTAAGCTAAAAGAAAGTTTGGAACTATCCACTGTACAGAAATTATTTTCATTATCAAAGTGAACTTTTTAGTACAAAATAAACTCGCTTTGGTTCGATTCAGTTTAGATTTCTACTCTGGTGTTTTGCAACCGTCAGTTTTCTTACCCGTCTGCATTAGACTACTTATGAGTAGGATTATACGCTCATTTCCACTAAAGTTGGACCTCGTATCTCTTGCACACAACGCGCCTATTATCCCAAAATTATCACATTCAAGTGTTAAATTTAATGAGAGAATAACATTACAATTATAGTTTGTTTATTCCCAGATTTATGAATAAAATTTCACGAAATCTACTTTAGTCAGTACATACGCTACCACATAATCTCGAAGGCCACTCAAACTTGTTTACTTGGTTCCTGTACGTATGAATACCGATCATTCACTCCAACTCCAGGTTTCTGTATACAATATACCAGCACGTCGTACTGTATCAGAATCTGATACGCTTTTCTTCCTCCATCATTTGCCCAAATGTATATATTCATATTTTATAACTAAAACTTAGTCCATCCCACCCCGCAATTTTTCTCAATTCGATTTTCGTTGCCACGTTACTGTTTTGTAAATCCGTCTGTCGGGGAGATCTTGTTTTTTCAATGCTTTTTTGGTTGCTCACTTGCATTTACGCTATTTTTACTGTCTGATTATTATTGTACAATTTTAGAGCCACTTTTTAGCTATAGACACCACTAACATCCCAGAACATTTTTTGCTACCCACAGTCGTGTTTTGCCCATATCATGCTTATGACCAGCAAGACCAAGCCGCTGTGCGTTTCCCAAATGCCAAAGTGTGCTTGCAAAGTATTAGCAACACTGTTTGTGACATTTAGCCATATTATCCAATGTGCTTTAACCATTGAATTGGCTAATCTCGAGCACCCAATATTGGAACACTGGAGAGACTTCTACCAGCCAATGTTTAGACACCTTTAAGCCGCGATATAGTTTGATCGTTCTACACCTAACCGCAGTCAGACGCAAGTGCTCAGACGATGGCCATTACTCAGTACTCTTCGTCTAGCGTCATTACTCTTTGATGGTTTTCCATCAGAATATTTGGATTGAAAAATTCTCAATTCTAACCATCGTCAACATGGCGAGAAAACTGCCCGGTAATTCCTAGCTCTTCAACGCACTACTTCTTTTGCATATCAGCGATAAAGTTCACTTTTGTGCATGTTATTCTGTCGTTTTTGTTTAATTTTTTACAAAATACATAACACCCACAGGGAACAATAGCGACCACTTCACTGCGCAACGCTTGAACTTTATTATATGCGGCATTTTCTCTGAAACAAAATTAACATTTTTGTCGCGCCGGATCTGTTTTATTAGATGAAACAGAGTACAAATATACCAGTTTTATTCGGTGATGTTTCTTTATTCTAACTCAACGACGTTTCTACCCCATTCCGTGAACTGTTAGGAAATTACTTGAAACCGAACTGAATATTAGTAAGATTGTGGTGGTAGATTTGACCACTGAGCAGTGTGGATTGGATTTTAAAGAGATGGACAAAGAAAGAGGGGTGATTTTGGTTTGCTTTAGCAGCAGACTCAATACATCGAACAAACACCATTGATCACATCTACAATTGATGACACGGTTTGTTTCAAAAGCCCCAAAAAGCCCCCCAATCCTTTTAAATACTTTGACGCTAGACGGCTTTATCAGTGCATTAGCTTCTTACACAACTGTTTATCCTCAGGACACATGTGTGTAATTCTACCCCAATACTATACTCCAGACGTCTTTGCGTAAGTCCGACAAATACGTTTTTAATCACTCAATTTACCAGTATCGAAATGATTCGGATAAAATTTCGCTGGATTTATTAATTCGTAAACAGTTCCTATTCTATTAAGACGGTGACTTTTCAGATTAGCCCATTCGGTTCTGTTCAGGCACCAGGCACTTGTAGGGAATAAACGATCTCCTAAAGAGTGTAGCCTACACGCAGGATCATCAATGGTACCAAATGCCTGTAAAAGGTGGAAGAGTTAATCCCCACAGTCACCTAAATCGACTGAGCCATTCACATAAGGTGATGACCGTAGACCGTGTAGTTCGGCTGCAAAAGTGTTTACTCCTAACTAGAGGTTTGCAGTTGGGTCCTGACAGGGGCAACAAAATTACGCACTGCTGATCAGACCCGAGAAGGACCAAATAGCTGTCAAGTGTTCTTTGTCGGTCATCACAAACATTTCTATCTCATTTATGCTTCTTATTCTGATTTTCATTACAAAGGAATGTTTATTTATTTCGGGGCATATACACCGCTAAATCTTAATCATAAACGACTATGGGTATACCTATTCCATTGAGGTACTACTCATACTTGTGAGTAGTTTACCTGCCCCGGAAGCGGTTGTTGGATTCCCACGCAATCCGCGATTAGACTAAAGGATATATAACACTTGAACCCTTGAGCAATACCACATTGTCCTTCAAACTTGCCACATTCACCTCCANTCCAACTAAGTTATGAATGCACACGTGTGAGCATTGTTTGTCTCAACGGGATATCATCAGAAGTAAGGCAGATAGTCAGTACTGATCCATCACTGGAAGCATACATTGACCCTGATTTAGGAGTTTAACAATAGCAGTGATTGAACTTATTACGCAGAAACAGAGAGCAAACAACTTTTATACTGTCTATCTCAATACCACTAGGTCTTTATTCAGTTCACCACCTACGTACTAGAATTTACCTTTCGGATCTACTAATTTAAAGAAAACTCCTCATTATTTTATACTCAGTTTTTCCCCTTTACTCCAGATAATTTTGTTTATAAAATGCAAATATGGGAAAATAATCGTCATGTTCAATTGACAGAAAGGCAATAGAAAAGGAGAAGAGAAATGACCATATCTTACGAGAGCTTTTTTAGTTTGGTTGAAGATCACTAGAACAGAATTTTACCCTGCTCGAATAAATACTATGCTCAGGTAAGTTTTTGCATGATTGAGAATATTAGGTCGGACCCCCACATACATTATGGTCGATTTACAACACGGACACATTTGTTTTCAAATGCACGAAACGATTTGCGATGAACTGATTTCCATGACCTCAATCTAATTTATCTTGATACCAGCAGAAAGGTAGGCCTGGTTGGTCATGCGCTACATGGTGCGGGGCATCAAACACTGAGGTCCTAGTAAGTTCTACGCTAGAAAATATAATTCGGCCCTCGCTAACTGATGTTCTGCATTCACAGCACGTTACCGAGATTGACATCGTTTAGGTCACTAATGTAACACACTATAAGGGCAAAACTCATCCAGGGGAATGTCCCAGGTAATAGCCTAAACGTCAATGGTCCATCGTTGACTATTACTTAGGGTATGGAAACTTGTGGTAATCTGTCTCCTGTATGCATCAACCATGTGTTTCCCTCAGCAATTTATCCAGTCCTTTGGGTTTATGCGAAGCGATCATTTAATGAGCAGCTAAAGAATTACTATTCGGTAAAAGCATTACATTTTGGCAGCCACAGTTTTTATCTCACCACAAATCCGCCTCTAGGATGTTTACCAATAAAAAGTGAAAAAAAACGTTTACTATGACGCGAACCACACCAGAAAAAAATTGAAAATATTCAAGTCGAATGTAAAGGACAGCTTAAAAATGACAATGAATGACCAACTATTTCACTGTTGGAAGAACTATGTTCTGGTCTAGCAGAAGCGTGGGCTCATTCAGATGCATCGTTCATACGATGAAATACTACTGTGGTACTGCTCCAAAACAAACTACTCCTACCAGTTTGCACTAAAGCTGAAAGTGGTTAACGTAATAAGGTTAATATTCAATGTATCGTGGTTACCCAGGCCATTCCCCAAATGTGTCTGTTATTTGTGAGAATGTAACGGAAATTAGGACTGAAATATTGCTGTAATTAAAACATTCCTAAATGTGANTGAACTATATAAAGGACCGATAACCATTAAGATCGACACTAGGCTAGTGAGTTCTTCAATAATATTACGCCACTAATACAGATATTTGTGTAAATAAAAAATATAATCGTTCCAATAATGTTCCACATTCCATACCGCGCACCTACGCTACTCTTTCTAAACTTCTCCAATAATAATCATAAGAGATGAAGATCAGCGATCGCTTATGACCGCTTCAAAGGTTACCTGCTAGTTCAGATGCATTTAAGATACAGTTATCTATCCGCATGAAAGAGCGCCATCCGCACTGGCTGAACCAAGATGATTCCGGATCTATTTCAAGTGCGATTCTTGCCCTTGGTAAGCACTGGTCAGTGCTTAACGCAAGTGAAGCATTAATTATTATTCATTAGGTTCCCCTCAGCCGGTCTATATATGATAGTATACGTACATTGGCCATAGCCAAAGCCATCTGTATTAAACATTTGACCCCAAAACTATATACCCAGAAGCTTCCAATACAAGCTCTCCATCTCCTATGGGTTTATGAACCCACACCTCTCCTTCGAGTACAAAGAGACATGTTCACACAATAATACCGATCCCTCAGAACTGTATCATGCGACCAACATGACAGCTAAAAATCCCGAAAGTAAACAAATGAGAATGTTGACAAAATATTGAAAATCGGTTCTCGTAGCTCGGGTGAACTGAATTCCATTTTGCCTGTTCACCGAGCTTGGCAATTTGTTTGCAAACGTTTCGTCACCAGCCGAGGTGACATCATCAGTTTTTGTGAAGTGGCCTCTTCACAAGCGCTGACGGTGTCACCTCGGCTGGTGACGAAGCGTTTGCAAACAAATTGCCAAGCTCGGTGAACAGGCGAAATGAAATGAGAATGTAATATGCAACACACATACAGTGATCGATACCTCGGATTTTACTGTCCTCCTCCCACCCCCTTGGTTTTATCTACGCGTATACAGTGTAGCAGCACGAAAATGAATCATTGAAAGGAACGGTTTGCCTGTTCGAAATCTTTGACATGACGCAACAGATTACCTCATCTTTGGCAACAAAATGAATCATAGATGCAACACTCTGCATAAACGCTTAAGCGCACGATTTTCCATCACCCTACAACACCAACTCACTTGAATGCGATCAACTGCATTTTCCCAACGTATATCCGTATTCGCATTTATTGCGAAAAGAAAAATAATTCTTCTGTTGGTTTCATAGAGAATATTTACCCAACTCAATCGTTATGGCACACAACCATACCTTAGTTGGATACAATCCTGTAAGCAACTCTCTCGCCTCAGTTCCCGTACTTTCGCAATAAAATTGCATTTCTTTTTACCATAAAAATGCGAGACTTTCCCATTCTAAAATCTTCGTGAATTTTTAGACAATAGAGGAGAGTGTGACTCGCGAATGTCCGGTATGAACAAGACACAAGCTATTAACGTCGGCTCCACCCGGAATTCAGATGTTTTTTTGGTCAGATCCAGAAGGTGTAGTACGATTTTTGATATTCGACAGTAGTATGCTTCTCTCATATTGATTGGAGACAATACCTGATATGACATTCAATGGAAGTCAGCGATAAGAGCACATTCCCCCTATGTTTGTATCTTTGTCATGAAAGACGATAAAGTGCAAAATATTCAAAACTGCACGCATTTAACCTCTTTGTATGTGATAGAACACTTGTAGATGACTGACGAAGAACAGTTGGTAATCGTTTTGTCCCAGTCAGAGACTCGTCAGGATTTTGTGCATTTTTGTGTGTCCCAACCGGACTTGAACCAAGGAAACTTTCGGTTTGGGAGTAAAAAACATTACTCACGAGCTACACGAAGACGGATCGATATCGTGAACAAACGAATATGTCAATTTAGTTTTCCACGTTAGACTGCATGTATAATTACATCTTACTTGATGCAGAGTAAAGAAAATTATTTGGACAGTCACAAAGTTTCTTTCTGATATTTGATAACGATGAAAGCTGTCCGGAACTTCCGACCATATGAACACTTTTATTTTAAGTATTTGCGCAAGATTTATCTACAATGATTTCATATTTATATTTTACTATGATCATTCTATGTTTTCAATTAATATAATGAAAAAGGTCATGTAGCACAATACTGGAGATCCTCGTGATCTCCAGAATTTATTTGCTTTCCGAATATATTAGATATAGTTGGTCGGTAAGCGTCCACACAGAAATCTCCTACTGTTTTGCTCATTGTGCATCTGCGCGTTATCGGAGATATCGGATCAGCCCAAAGCCTAGTATACTAGACGTACACACTCGACTACGGCAGAGCAGTTAGAACCCGACGAAACGTTTTTCTCTGTAAATAATCAGCAAGGTATTGATTCGTAGCAGCCAGTCCAGAAATACATATGCTGAAGTATGAAATTCTTCACCATACTTCGAAAATGCGATTTATGCCACGGGAAACGATGCAATGAAAATGAAAACCAGTATATTTTGAAAACAACGGGATGGTTGCACCACTCGAATTCTGTGATATGAAAACGTTCACAATGATATATCGGAGGCATATTGCTTGTTTTTTGGTAATAGTCGGGAGGGGGATTAAGGTACTGTGGTATACTTAGAGATGCTAGAGAGCGTTCATAACCACCGAATGCGCTACAGTGATCAAACTCAAACTCATCTTGTGTATCATATTTGATTCTGGTGTTTATCAATTCAAGCTATTCATTGTGTTGTCTAGAGCGATATATATGCATATGTAAATGTGCGAAAGATGTAAGAAAATGCGTCATTCGTTCACGTAGACCAATTAAATATCCAATAAACTCTAGTGAGCTTACGGGTGACCTCATGGAGGTGCCAATGTTGATTCAGGAAACTTACTTTTGTGGTGTGAATTGACAAGCGTGGGTTCCATAGATAGGATAGATATAACCTCATGTGTGTATCCATTTCTGATAGGCAAAAGTGTTTCGCGATATAAGCAGCAATCTAGAAAACAGAAGCAATTCGCTATTACTCGTATTCAATCAAATAATAAAATGGTGGAAGTTTTTTCTCACAGTTATCCTACCTGATGTGTAGAAATTTTTATTCGATGAGCACCAGGAATCCAATCATTGACGAGGTTTGTTCCTTCCTTCGAGTTGGAAATTTCCAGAATATTGATAGTGGTGCTTAGAGGGTAGGTAAACGCTGTCAATGCTGCCAAAGCGTGTTCCCGCACGTCTTCAATCCGCTGTGGATCCAACTCTACGGCTAAAATTCAAACAAGGTATCACTAATTAAAAACGAGTTTGCAATATACACTAATTCTGGTTGAGCGATTATAATTTCGATGGCAGACCCGTAAATGGCATCTGAGCGTTAAAATTAAATGCGGATTGCATGGGACTACTTATATTTAGCTAGTAGGCAAATTTAGTACAAAGAAATTCCATGAACCAGCAGCATCTGCACAAGCACATACGAATATTTCAGGTGCATTACAGTGAGGTCTTCAGATGATCTTCAACCTTTTTGAGTTTTATGTATTTGAGATTTTTTTTCATTTTATGGTACGTTGGAATTATTGTTGTACAATTCTTGTAAGTTACTATCAATAATGTATACTGTGAAGGATGATGGTTTGTACTTTTCCACTTTACGAAAACTAAACAAGCTGTTGCAACTGGGAGTGAGGAAGAAATAAAAAGCCGATTTACGGTTATTTATAGTTCGAAATTTGCTGGAAAAAGTATTTTTCAAAACTTTTCTAATTTGTGTGCAGTTTTTTGTACTAATATTTTATATACCAATGTTTATACTAATATTTTAACTTTGTCTATAAATGTCCAAGTCAGGAAAAGACTGATCAGAGGTGAAAATCCACTTCATTTTTCGCTAATTATTTCAGATAAATGGTGTTAACGTTGTTTATAAGTTTCTCACCACAAATGCCCGGAACTTTAATTCCATGAAAACGACAGCCCGTGCTCGTGACAATGAACAATTGTTCATTTCTGGTCTAAAGTTATTAACCTAACTCCACGTCTGAAGTTGATTATATATGCATGTAACAAGCCAGTCGGTCATGGTATGATTATTCGGTAGTCTCTTTAAGTTGAAGCATTATGATTAATAGGCTAAAATGAAGGCTTCTAAGCCTTATTTTAGAACTAATGTGTTTTGGTGATCTAATGCTGAAACACTAACTATGATATGCTAGGGATATTCCAGATAAAGAGTAAGCATTCAACGATCATACAATTAGAAAAGAATGTGCGTTTGGTATTTGCAAAACATCACTGTGCGGAGCAACAAATCGCCTTTGCATGACCAATCTGCTATTACTGTAACATGGAATCCTCGAAAGAAAATCAAATCATATTTGTCTCAGATTGGAGCTACCGGTATTTGCAACCCAACTTATGTCATCAAATGAAAAAACAATAATAATAATAATTTATTGTTTCAACCGTGTCGAGAGTTATAATTAGCACTGGCGGTGTTGAACAGTGCTGTCTACGCAGCATTGCACGAACCTGGTGGGGCAATCGGACGAGCAATGCTAAGGTTAGGCGTAGAGTTTTAGGCACCCGCGATCGTCCATTGGAGCAAATGGTCGACTTAAATAGATTGCTTTGGTTGGGGTATATGTTACGCATATCACCAAACAGTTTGCCACGGACAGCGATGTTCGCCGAGGCAGGTAGTCGGTGGAAGAAAGCCAAGGGTGGTCAAGCTCAAGCCTAGCATGAGGGTATGAAAACCCTAACCGAGAGTCTAGTTCACATAGGTCCCGTTAGGCTCCCTGGCGGGGGACCTCGGGATGACCGTAAGCGATGGTTAGACATTGAGTGTTATGGCCGAGTTTCGTAAACAGTGGTGTTCGTGCATCTTTTAAATTTCTCTGCAACATTAATCCACTGAAATTCTAGATTTTCTCTTTGATCCTACTTCTGAAATTTCCTGTCCTTCTCCCAATGTTATCCAAATGCGCAGCCAAAAGACAGCAACCAAAACCGGCACACAAAAGTGCATGATTCATGGTTGTACAAACTGAACTGGACTGATAATATATCTGTAAACCAGCCAAACGATATCAATTGCAGTATATATTCAAATGTGAGTACTTCACATTAATTTGGATGTAGTGTTTATACAAGATATCACGGTACAAACATCTTAATATATACATTGCAATAGAATCGACTATGGGTTAATGAATAAACTTGGGGTCGGTCCTTTCTGCCCACAATTTCATTCCGCTGTCTACTCCACATTGATGGAGTCTGATAGGATGACCGTACGAGGATTACCAAAGTTAGAAGCAGTTTTGGGTGATCATTTTTGAGCACTGGAATGAATTTTTAACCTTTTGGAAAATAAGTGACTGTGACATGTCTCACGAACGTCAACAGAAAGTCAAGGGTACTGAGACTAAGACCTGACAGGAGAATAAGAAAACCCTGACCAAGGAACATGAAGAACCTCGGGATCAGTATAATCGATAGTCAGAGACACTGAGTGAAATCATTTAATGTCGCAAGCAGGGAAGGTTGTGCATACACACATTCGTTTATGTTTATCTTGGAATTGCTTTCCACTTTGTAATCCTTCCGTGTACTTTTCCATCTCAATCAACTGTCTCAACCAGGACCGCCGAGTAAGATTAAAGACTAGTGTTTACATAAAGTAAGCTGAATTTATTAACACTCCATATTGTTTGAACGAAAATGCGATTACCGGTTTTACCTTCTTGACCGTGCCGACTAATTGATGGCATCAGCATTAGGATTTTTATTGTCGGCAGATGATGTTTTACCAAATCGTCATAGAAGCGTTGCACGACTGACGGTTCTCGGTCCACCATTCGCTCCATCATATAGCGCAAACACTGTGAAAGCAAATGGTCATACCTTGAGTAAACTATGCGAATCTGTGAACGAAATCACTAAAACAGTATTGCTTTCTCAGCCAAACTACAATGTTTTGTTTATATTCAGTATCAGTGAGAAATTTGACCTTTGACGAAGATTACGATGAGCGAACTAATCAGCAAGTATAACAGAATACTGGTATCTAGATAACCGAAAGATAAGTGTAAAGCAGGCAACGGTATTATTGGCAAGCACCCTTCCTTTTGCTGCTCGAAGTTAGAGACAAAATCACTCAAGATGAGGTTTTCTTTAATTCTAAAATTTATAAATATTCCAATTTATAGCCCCTTATATTGGAAGCTTTTTACCCAGTTAAGGGATCTATCAAGGTGACCAAATGAAATATCTACGTTTAATATCAATACGCTCATTCCACATAGTATGCGCTGCGCTGCAAAACAATTTGGGACTAGACACTGTCGGATTTCAATCCCAAACTATTGTTTCAGAAAAGTGATATACTTCACATTAACATGAAGTACTCAGGTACAACCGATGGAAGATTACGCACACACGCAAAAAACGCACTTGTTAGCATGCAATATTCCTGTCAGATTCACTTCAATCGAACCATAGGAACACGGTTTAGGCACATATTACTCACCAATAATGTTTGATCACGCAGATGGAATTCGATGTCACATGACTGATTCACGAGTTCTGGTACCAGTTCCATAAAGCACAGTGCGTTCTCCGTGTAGTGCTGAATTCTGAAAGTTGCATCAGCTTATATGTAATAAGGTTATAAAAGCGTAATTCGATCATAAAAGTTTGAAATAAGAGCAATTTACGTGTATTCGACATTATCAAAACTCTTGTATATATATATATATATAATGATCATAACCTGCATTTCATAAAGGAATCCCTAAGAAAGGTTCGGGGAGGACAAAAAATGAAGACAAAAACTAAAGTAATAAAATTATTGAAAACCAATAACCAATTGGGTTAAGGTCAGCTGTAAAGTATTCCTTAATAGAAAAGTAATGAATAACTGCCAGAATGTAATGTCTCATCACATTTTAAGGCGTGCGGCTATTCTTGGTGACTCCAACTCGTCACAGCATTTTCATGTGTCAGTGCCTGAGATCTTGTAATTACGAACGAAATAAATGTGTTGAGGGAAAACATACACTCCACTTCGATGGTTATGAGAAACAGATTCAGTTCAATTGTGCGAGGGTTGGCGAAAAGATAGATTACCGTGCTGACAAACAAAATTAAGTTAAGTTGCTTATTTGCCTGCTGACGGACAGCCAAACAGAAGTATGGATTTTGCACACGTACACAACTCATTATTTGAATGGTTACTCCCAAGATATTCAAATACATTCACCGCTGTAGTCCGTGGATCCATAAAACCTGTTTTAATACACTGAGTACATTCACTCAGTCGAAGCAACTTTCGAATAAATCTGTTTACAACGGTATCAGAACGAGATTGTACGTCTGTTGGTAAAATCCTGAAAGTTTTACATCAAGCTCTTCAGAATCCATCAACTAAAGTGGCCACTGCTGATATCCGCCGACATGAAAGGTCCAAGTGAGGACCGTTGTTTGCACTAAGCGCCATCAGTCATCACACGGATCATGATATAACCCAAAGATTCGCGTGCACACACAGAAGAAAAAAACTTTCGTAGTGATCAATAAGCATTGCGCTTAGCGAACACCTCACAGGCATAAAACGTATGAAAACCGGCAAGCAAGCGTGTTGGCAATACGTGTGGACCATGTGAGGAATAGGTGAAATTCACGGGAGTTGAAATAGTGAACTAATACAGAACAGAAAGCAACAGTGGATTCAGAAAAACTGCAAAAGAGCGTACACATGTTTGTTTGTTCGTTTAAAAAAAACAATTGAGTGCGGCATTTATTCACAGGTCATAAAGTATCATCAACAAAATCTGCAGAACCATGCTAAACCAAGAAATCAAAGAGATGAATTAGGAACTGAGCCGTGAGTAAGTGCATGTTCAAGGATATTTTTTGTCTTATTACCGTATTCAGATAGAGTTGTTTTCACTACTCGATCGATTGTTTGGCAACATTCGCCAGGACGAACAAATGTGTGACACAAAATTCGTTTCTGTTGTGTGAATAAAATCGTCAGCCGAGATCGGGCACAGGTAAGGGTCTAACAAAATCAACCGTTCACTTGTATTGAGTTGTCGGCGGGATCCATTCCCATCAGACAGCAAGCGACTCAAACAAAAATAACATGGCGTTAGGAAGGCTTTTTGTTGAAGCATTTCAGAGTGGTCTGTGGGTATTAGTGCAGCATTCAAACACAACCTCCATTGGAAAAATTATGTGCTCCAAAAAAGTGCATTAGATAAGTGCCAAGAGTGCGACCGTGCAGCCATTCATTTTGGAGTTAATAATTGCCACCTAAAGTTTAAACATTATTTCTCTAGACATCAGAGCAGGGTTAAAAAATACTAAAACTTTTGTGCAACCCAACTCAACTGACACACACAATAAGCAGACTCACTGATAAATTCGGGCTAGCGTTCTTAAAAGAACAGTAAAATGCATTTCACAAGCTGGAAGCGTATTAAAAAATGAGGATCATAGCTTTTTAAGTGGATGTATTCTCTTTGGATCTCACGATTAATATAGCAGAAACAAATCTATGTACTGGTAGTAAGCTCTAACAGTATTTCCTTCATTAAACTACTTTTATTTTGTTGGTTTTACGACATATCTTTGAGAAAATCTCATACATACCGCTGAAGTCAATTCCCAGCATGATGTGTTTGCGAGCCTACTACTTCCTCTCCTAATATCAGCGGGCTATGCTAGTGTATGAATGAAATCATCTCTGTAAGAATAATTGTTTTTACTGGTTTTTAGCGACTAGTCTACACAGTTAGGTATGCAAAGTTCCTTTAACTCTCCTTTGATTCAAAGTCTACATTTTCTCACCAAAGATGTATAGACAAGATCACTTTCGTTAACAATATAAAATAAAAGCTGACATTCTAAATTGTCCCAGAAATAGTGGCCAGTTGGGACCTGATTTCTGACTACGAAGGGTTGCGTACAATCGATTGAAGCACCGTTTAACTGGGAGACCCTATTTAGGATTTTTCCCAAGCCTTCTTGGAAAGAATAAGAGCACAACCAGCTGTTTTTGATGTGCAAAATGTTACTTTTTGGGCTTTACGACTTTTTCTCGCTGCTTGAAAAAAAAGAACATTAATAAATGCTAAAACTGTGATCAGAAGATAGCTTTCCTCAAAGGACCGCCGCATCGATCGAATTTAGCATAATCCGGACACATTGATCACTTGTTTGATCATTTCCTAAAGCTAAATAAAACCGAGAAAGGTGCTTGCGAAATCCAAAGATACTCGATTTGTGCTAGTTTAATCTCATTATGATGTCGCAAATAGTGGCACAAGTGCATCTACTGATTAGTCTTGAAACCTAAGTCTTCATGAATTCTATATTTTCACTCTGAAACTGACTTGAACATTCATATCTTTTCTTTACTTCTCCATCCAAATGGGCAGTAATGTGGCAGCAACTAAAACCCAAAAGTGCATGGTTAACAGGTTGAAAAAACTATGCTTGTGTGCGGAATCCACGCACCGTTTCCCAATATTTCGGACTGGACTATACCACAAAACCGTGAATTAATATCACCCTATTGATAAAGTATATGCAATTTTAACAAAATGTGAATCGCTATGAATTTGAGTGAAACTAGCAACGTTAATTGCTTTCCCACCGCACATCACTTATCGAATCAAGCCTAACGCAATGAAGGTCGATCCGGAATTTACCGATTTTACTGCATACCAATAATTCTATTCCGTGAAATCAATGTTGTGTGAAAAGAGATGTTTGGGTGAGGTGAAAAACCGTAGACTGTGTTGCGATTTATCTATGCATGTCAGGCCCTTGGCTGTTGACCGAGTGAGGATTAGTCAAGGATAAGCAAGGATACACATCCCCAACGATACATCACCTCGATCGGTCAGATAAGGCAAGCTATGATGAGATGAATCAATTCATTGACCACAATGGCCAGGCGAAACTACAATCATGATGCAGCTCCTCAACAAACCCTTTTAAGTCGGTCTGTGAAAATTCAATATGGTCGTCTTTTTGTCCATCTTTCCCCGCTTCTATCAAAAAGAGTAATCAAATTGTGTTCCGTGTAGTTAACAGAGCTCTTATAACCACAAATGTTAAGTGTTTAATATGTTGTGAAAGATACTGCATTTTTCATTGTAATTCCATGAAAATTGTTCAAACCACATTACTAACATGCAATATATGAATATTAAAAGTTATTTTTTTAATAAACAAAGCGGATCTCAATAGCTGAAGAATAACGCCGAGCAGTCAGATGTACAGCATGTAGCTTTTTCCTATTATCACTGATTAATGAGGTCAAACATCGTGACCTAATGTCATACTTACATGTGCATCCTTCTACCTATATCACACCCTAAATGACACTGTTGACGCAGTCCAATAGAAAATTCAGATTGCGATTAAATTTTAGTTCTTACTTTCTGTTCACTAAATGCCCTGAAGAATACCTTCACTTGAGGCATGACTTTTGCTGGTGGTTGATCATCTATGGCATGCTAACGGACCAACAACAGTTGTTCAAAGCTCGCCTGAAGCGAGACAGATACATACCTGTTTTCAAGATGGTGAGATTAAAATGCGATTCCCCCACACCATCAACATATTATTTGATGTAGCCTTCCATTTATAACAAAAGTTTGACCACCAGAAAGACGGTGGAATGGATTCGTTTTATCGCATCGTTTTATGCATCCCAAACGGCAGCCTTTGGAGTGTCTAGTACATTCGATGTTCAAACGGCAGAATTCTCGGTTTTCCTCAAACCACTAGATTGATAAATAACCCACTCTTCTTTCACACTCACTTTGTATAGGAATGATGCGGATACTGAATACAA